CACTTAAATTATGTATATCTATCATGTTTTTGAAGTGGATTTACATGAATCGAGGCTTGAAAATGAGTTTGGATGCATGAATTTGGAACCAATTTCGGACTACTTGGATTTACCAAGAACCACACGTGCTGTTCTGATCCCTACACATGTGGAACACAGGACAAAACAGAGGCTCTCATTCTATTTTAATTTCACATGCGGCCCGCACGTACGTCGCATTCCGCACGTGCGGCAAGGGACTTCCACACTTACGAAAAATAGGAAAATTTTATGTTTATGTTTGTTAACCTTTTTGACCTTTTGGACATGTTTTTGACCTCATGTAAGCCCTTCGAAAAATTAAAAGATAAGTAGAAACCCATAGAGATTAAGTAAAAGAAAAGTTATGGAATTGAATGAATTGTTTATCAAATTTGTATCTGTAATATGTTGTGTAGGTTACTTGCACGAGGAATCATCACAAAGCCAAAATCCCTATGAGTAATAAGTTTGTATACATATGTTCTTCATTGTTAGTTTGGAAACCATATGAAAGTGCGTATATAGATTTCTGAAATTGCCTTATGTTCTGAGATAAATGAGTTTCGTTGAACGCTTTATGAATGAAATGGAATGCTTTATGAATGGTATATGAATGAATGATGAATAAACGATATGTGGACCCAAGGTCGTTTTGTTTACGATACGACGTACTATGTGGGCCAGAGGTCGTTATGTACTATGTGGGCCCAAGGCCGTTTTGTTATATGTGGGCCCAAGGCTGTTTTGTTATATGTCGGCTCGAGGCCAGTTTGTTATATGTGGACCAGAGGTCGTTTTGTATGTTTGGGTCAGAGGCTGTTTTGTATAATCGGACCTGAGGTCATTTTGTAATATGTTGGGCCTGAGGCCGTTCCGTAATGTGATACGGTTAAGGCCATTTGAATTATATTAGACCCAAGGTCGTTTTGTTAAATTTGCATATGACTAAGCTTTTAGAAAGTTTATTGATCTATGATAAAATGTTTTCTTTGAGTTTGAATTTATTCATTAACTCTTTATATTATTATTACTTATTACTCATTGAGCTTTGCTCACCCCTTTATCCAATATCTGTGTAGGTGATCAGTATGGAGGTCAACCATAGAGTCAAGCTCAGGAATTGTCTATTTGGACCTTTCATGCCAAGCCTCCAAAATGGAGCTTTTATATCTTTGGTGTTATGTTTATGTTAGGTCTTCTGTTTGGTTTTCGTTAAATGGATTTTGGGAAAATGTAAACTTAATGGTAGTGACTCCTATGTATATTGGTTATGTTTAGAAATCATGATATGTGTATGAGAGTTTATCCTGATCATTTAAGCGTTTGGGTCATGATAGAGTGGTATCAGAGCCTAAGTTAATAACTCGCACGCTGGTCCATTGAGCAACGAGGAGTTTAGAAAAGAGTTAGGAACATTTACATTTGTGTTACAAGTGTTTGAATTAAAATTTGAATCCATGATCTTTATGTAAACATGAGAATGAAAGATACAAATACAAGTGTGCTTTCATAAGCTCCTTCTGGAATATGATGTATATGTGAATGCATAGGTAAGTATGATTATTGTTTGAACATGAACATGAAAATTGTGAAACCGCGTGTACATTTCTAATCTCAGCATGATAAGTAACCTATGTGATATGAGTATATAAAAAAGGGGGGGTTATGTGACTTAATGAGTAATTTTGATCTCGATAATGAATGTGTGACTTATGTGAACATGAACATATGAACATAGAAGTTAACTGATTTACGTGAACCTACATGTGCAACTCTATTGTTGATGTATGTTTATATATATCTAGCGAAATGGTGAAAAAGATGTATTACAAGCTAAGCATTGAGATTAAGAACTAAAGGTTATTGTGAAATCTCAACGATTAAAGGCAACTAGGATGTGTTTTCTTAAGAAGTTTTGTATTAAGACGAAAAGTTAAAATCATTATGGAATTTTGATGTTATAAGAAAATCGGAGTTTTAACTAGAACACTGGTGATTTTAAGTATATTGATTTGTGAAAATATAGTATTGCAAGGAAGTAGAATCTCTGATGAACTCTATGGAAGTCCTATGATTTATATGTAAACGTGGATTAAGCGAATATTTGGGAGAATTGAGGTATTTGATGGCCAATGAAGTGTGTGGAATTATGGTGATTGTGTGGAATTACGACAATATGGTGTTTGATCTATGAGATGGTGTGTTGATATGGTGAAGATATTATGTGAAATCTTGAACCATATAGTTTAAATGATTATGTAAGATGTTATGATCTAAATCAATTTTCGTTCTATGCTTTTAGGAAAAAGGATGGTGAAAAGTAAGAATGACGTAAAGACTAGATCCTTATTAAAACGATTAGACCAAGTAAAAGAAGTTTGAGAGAGTGTGGTGAAAGCTATGCAATGTTATGATAATTTGCAAAATTAGGAGGGGGAAGGATGCTTCAAGTCACTCAATCTAATGGCAGGTTAGTACTTAATGAAAAGATCAATGAGAATATGTTTAGTACACGCAAGAAGTCTTAAGTCAGAATTTGAGATATTTAAATTTTCCTTATTGTGAGAAATTAGAATTCATTTTCTTAGAGGGCTGAGCTTCGACCCAAAATGGTTATAATTGAGGAATGTGAGCAAGACCTAACCACTTATTGGATGTGGATGGTAAGTGAAGTTCTACTTTTCTTTCTGTTTTATTAAAATAGTTTAATTTGATGAAGTCATGTGCTCTTATGAATGTGTGTGAATAGGATAAGAGCGGTACTCCACTTTAGTAGACTACTACCTATATGAATTCGTTAAGAACATCGGAAAAAAGAAGATTTTTATGTACTCATACTATAAGCCTATACGAATTGGCCTCTTAGGAAACATAGTAACTTTCACATATGAATACTAGTCAAATTGGAAGTATGTAAAGTTCTGCTTTGATGCGTATGTCTTGATGTTAATTGGGTGTAACCCATCACCTTTTATTTTCAAAAAGGATTAATGAATTTCTGGAAGACACGATTTTGTTCTGAATCTGATATGTTTCTGTGCTGGATATGATAAGTCTCTCTTGCATGATTACCTTTACTAATTGTGTATAAGGTGTCTATAATATTTCTTTATCATCCAAAAATTTTTGCAATAACATACAATATGAAACTTTTTCTGGAAATTATGACATCAATACCTTGGACATAAACTAATATGATGTATTTTTTAAGGAAACAGATAGACTTTGTATACATTGTGTAAGCATTATTGATACACCTAATTGAAAAGATTTTGATCTCCGAAACTAATGACCTTCCTTTGGAAGGAATAGACTTAAATGCTTATGAATTACAGTGCTAGCCAACAAAGGAATAAAAGAATGTGTATGGGAATTTTATGGAAGGAGAGATCAATAAGAAGTTAGAATTGATGTCCTTATGTTTGTTTAATCGATTATTGGTAAAGCTAGAATTCATTTACTTGGACGGTTGAAACTTGATCTGAGGTGATTAAAACAATTTGAATTGTCAAGACTATTATTGGGCACCCTTGCTACCTATGAGTAAGTGTTTGTATGATGATTGGGATCAATATTATGTGATAGGTGTTTCGTTGTCATCTGGAGGATATACATTATTTGGAAATGTTATACTTTGAATTTGACTCAATGCTTGTAATGATAAGTAAATGATGATCATATACCTAAGCGAGTTGCTTTTGACCTCAAAAGTTAAATGGCTTTTCTTGAGGAGTTAATTGAGTAGATACCCACCCTATTTAATTTGCTAATGACGGTTTATGACTCATATAAGAATGACAAATGTTTGGGTTATTGCTACAAAGGAGTTGGTGGACCAAAAGTTGAATGTGTTATTAGTATTGTGTCAATGGGGTATCAACACTTGTTGATTTGGAAGACTTCATATAGGATGTGAATAGAGGAGTACTTTGCTTTATTGAAGTTAAGTAAAATCATGAATATCATTCGTGATCAATCCTTGACTATGTGGAAATATGTGAATTATTAGAAGATATGTGGTTAGATAAATAAAAGTATCTTAGTAATGTGATGGACGGGAGTAGTATGCTGGGGTCAATATGTTTGTGGCTTAATGATATGAGGTTGACTTCGAGATTACTATATGTTGCTAAATATCTTTTGGAAACAATATGAACAGGGATGAATCATAATTTGGGTTAGTCATCATTTAGTGAAAATGAGTTAAACTCCTATCATGAGAACATCGAAGGGTGAGAAAATTACTTGAGAAAGAGAAATGTAATAGGAGAGAGATGTATGACCTATTTCTATACGAGAACATAAGTTTGGAGGACCAAACTTCCTAAAAGGGGGAAAACTGTGATAACCCTACTCCATATTATGTTTTAATTTCCTAATTGTGCTTATGATTATGTCTTTGAGATGAATTTGCAAGTTAATTGCGTAATTCATGTGGTTTTGGAATTATATTTGTTGATCGTAGGCAAATCAGTCAAAATTACAACTTGGAACTGAAAATTGAAAGTCTTAAAGGCACCAAAAACCAAAATTGATTAAATATTTGTAATCAGCATAATTTTTAGAGTCTAATAAGAAGTTTGGTAAAAATTTCATTCGAACTAAAATAGCCTCCGTTTGGGAAGTGGGTTGGCTTTTTGGCTTTTTGGCTTTTTTGGCTATTTTAGCCTGGGCTAAAAAGCTTGGTTTAGGAAGGACTTTTTGGCTTTTTGACTTTTTTGACTTTTTTTGTGAGAGAAGAATGTAATGATTATAGGTTGGATGTGATGTTTTGTTTGTTATAGCTAAAATAGCCTATTTTGTTTTTTGTGGCTAAAATAGCCAAAAAAGCCTGAAAAAGCCCTTGCCAAACACAGGCATAATTAGATTAAATTAATCAAATACGCTATAGGCTAATGATTTTAAGCTCTAATTAGCTAAACTAACCAACCTTGCTTAAAAAGACATATATATATTTATGCACTTTAGCTTTAGAAGCTAAGCGAGACAACAATTGTGTTGGAGAAAAGAGAGACAAGGAGAGAAAAGAGGAGTTCAACATCTTTGTGAATGAAAAGCTAGAGAATTGAAGACATAGAAGTGGAAATCAAGAAATTGACTTAAGGTATGTGTAATTCAACTAAAACTCTTGGAATAACACTTCAATTGCTGGAATTCAAGGACTAGCATGAAGACTGAACACCTATTTAAGCTAGGGTTTTCAATTGTAAGTCTAATGGAGCTATAATCATGAAATTGAACTTTGATCCTTTGGATTTGCTTGATTTAAGAGTCAGTTCATTTGAATTTACTTGATTTGAGTCTGACGGTGAGAATTTGATCCTTAATCTTTAGATTTTGTATGTTTTGAACTGAAAGAGTTATATGTAAGTGAAGATCTTAAGAAATCTTGGAAGCAAGGGTTAAGATTGTGAGATTTAAGCAAGTTTTAATTCAATTGAGTTTGAGTTACACTTAAATTATATATATGTCATGTTTTTTAAATGGATTTACATGAATTGGGGCTTGAAAATGAGTTTGGCAGCTTGAATTTGGAACTAATTTCAGACTGTCCAGATTTACGCAGAACCGCACGTGCAGCTGTGATCCCCGCATGTGTGAAACACAGGACAAAACAGAGGCTCACACTCTGCTTTAATTACACGTGCGGTCCACATGTACATCACATTCCACACGTGCGGTAAGGGACTTTTGTACATGCGAAAAATGGAGAAAATTTTTGTTTACGTTTGTTAACCTTTCCGACATTCTGTACATGTTTTTGACCTCATGTAAACCCTCCATAAAATTAGAAGATAAGTAGAAACCCATAGAGATTAAGTAAAAGAAAAGTGTATGGAATTGAACGAATTGTTTATTGAATTTGTATGTGCGATATGTTGTGTAGGTCGCTTGCACAAGGAATCGTCACAAGGCCAAAATCCCTGTGAATAATAAGTTTGTATACTTATGTTCTTCATTGTTAGTTTGAAAACCATATGAAAGTGCGTAATATTCAAGCGACCTAAAGTGCGTAATATTCTTGATCCTCAAACATCAAACAATGAACATGAGAAAAAGCGAATTAATTTCAAGATAATTCGAGAATATCCTACATAAACACTGCAAACATGGAGAATATCCTACATAAACACTGCAGGGGCCGGTTTAGGAGGGCTTTTAACCTTTGTTTTGATCCTCAAACATCAAACAATCAACAAGGGAGCAAGGAGGACTAATGAGTATTGGTGTAACAGAGATTTCATCCAAAGAGGAGTATTCACATTGCATTGTGGCAAAGCAAATGCGTTTTTAATATTTCTGCTATTAATAACAAATTAATATTTCTTCCATTTCTATTTAGAAAAACACAATCCTTTTGGCCTTCGCTTTTTTTTTTTCCATGTTGGACAAGTATCAAAATAACCATAACCTTCGCCTAATATTCACTGATTTCTTGCAGTGTTTATAGGTCTATAAAGCAACCGAACAACAAAATTAATATGGAGCTTATACCAAGAAGGGAAGCAAACATGGCATTCTAATAATATTCAAGCCATCATGAGAAAAAGTGAAGTATCTTGAGAAAGAAAAGTACAAATCTCCATCCAAGCATAAAGCAAAGTTCTCTCATTCATTAATTGCTGGAAAATCATTTAAACATAACTAAAATATCAGTAGTTTTGTTTAAACATTTAACATACTATCAGTGTTTTTTGGAAGCTGGGAGGATACAATGATTAAATATATGATAGTTAAACTGAATTTTATTCTCTAAAATTTATTTCGTACATGATATTGCTTTTGATAAAGAAAAAAAAAATTATTAAACTCTTATACCCTATTTGGTTTCATTTTAAGAACCTATTTTCTGAATTTTTATTTGAAAAAATATAAATTATATGCAAGCAAATAACAGGAAAAATGATCTATATCAATCTATACTCCTTAGAGAAAGAACTGTAAGCATTAATCTATATCAGTATAATCCTAAAATTTTCCATTAACGTACCTACTAATAATATTCTTAAATTGTTCATTTACTTTGTTGTGATGTTCCTAAAACCAATTGCTATCTACCTATCCCCCACAAAAAAAAAATATATATTTATTAAATTAAATTCATTAAACCAAAATTGCTTCTTTCTTGTTTAGCATTCCCAAAGCTAGAAATCACAAGGAAACAATTGAAACCCTAAAATGATTTTATTTTTGGAATTGGGGAGAGATGCAGAGAAATAGGAATGCTACCACTGAACTAAGAAACATAGAATCTAATATACATACAAATTACCAATCATACAATTTATATACATATAACTCTATGTAAAAATTTAACTAGTTGCCTTCATGATTGCTTAAATAGAGTAACAAAAGTTTGGAATTAAACACAACTTAGAGCTCATAGATGCTTCAAATGTACTAAAAGAGTAAAACCCTAAAATGATTTTATCAAAATCCAACAGTACCAAAATTAAAATAAAACCCTAGATCCGCGATGGTGAAATGGGGAAATAGAGGAAAGGTGAGAAAGAAAGAGAGAGGGATAGAGACAGAAAAACCTGAATGTGGATGGGAAGGGAATCCGCGATTGTTAGCGACGATGGCAAGAGCCGTGATGGTCAAAGGCGATGGTGAGAGATGCAATAGTCAGCGGTGGAAGTTTGACGGTGACTATTAGCAGAGATGGTAAGCCTGTAAGAAGAGGGAGAGCAATCAACTGAAGGAGTTTATTTCGGTGTATGTAGACACTAATATAGAGGAATAAAAAATAATAATCATATAAAACGAAATTAGTGAATTGGGCAGAAAATTTGAAATCACCAAAAAATTTGACATCTTTGCCAACTAAACATTTTTTGTCACCAAAAATATATATTTAGTGACTAATTTTTTGGTCACCAAAGATTAAAATCAAAATTTATGTCATAACCCTACCCCGGATTATGTTTTAATTTCCTAATTGTGCTTATGATTATGTGTTTGAGGTGAATTTGTAAGTTAATTGTGTAATTCATATAGTTTTGGAATTATATATGTTGCTCGTAGGAAAATCTATTGAAATTACAATTTTAAACTGAAAATTGAAAGTCTTAGAGACACTAGAAACCAAAACCGATTGACTATTTGTGATCAACATAATTTTTAGAGTCTAATGAGAAGTTTGGTAAAAATTTGATTTGGAGTAAAATAATTAGATTAAATTTAATCAAATAAGATATAGGCTAATGATCTTAAGCTTTAATTAGCTAAACTAACCAATCTTGCTTAAGAAGACATATATATTTATGCACTTTAGCTTTAGAAGTTAAGCCAGACAACAATTGTGCTGGAGAAAAGAGAGACAAGGAGAGAAAAGAGGAGTTCAACATCTTTGTGAAGGAAGAGCTAGAGAATTGAAGACATAAATGTGGAAATCAAGGAATTGACTTAAGGTATGTGTAATTCAACTAAAACTATTGGAATAACACTTCAATTGCTTGAATTCAAGGATTAGCATGAATATTGAACACCTATTTAAGCTACGGTTTTGAGTTATAAGTTTAATGGAGCTATAATCATGAAATTGCACTTTAATCCTTTGGATTTGATTGATTTAAGAATCAATTCCTTTGAATTTATTTGATTTCAGTTTGATGGTAAGAATTTGAGCCTTTATTAGATTTTTTATGTTTCGAACTCAAAGAGTTACATGTAAGTGAATATCTAGTTGAATTTGAAAGGAAATGAAGAAATTTAAGAAATCTTGGAAGCAAGGGTTGAGATTGTGGGATTTAAGCAAGTTTTAATTTAATTGAGTTTGAGTTACACTTAAATTATGTATATCTATCATGCTTTTGAAGTGGATTTACATGAATTGAGGCTTGAAAATGAGTTTGAAAGCTTGAATTTGGAACCAATTTCGAACTGTCTGGATTTACCTAGAATCGTATGTGCTGCTATGATCCCGCGCGTGCGGAACATAGGACAAAACAGAGGCTTGCATTCTACTTTAATTACACGTATGGCCCGTACGTATGTCACATTCCGCACATGCGGTATGGGACTTCCGCATGTATGGAAAACAAGAAAGAATTCTGTTTACATTTGTTAACCTTTCTGACCTTCTGGACATGTTTTTGACCTCCTGTAAACGCTCTGGAAAATTAAAAGATAAGTAGAAAGCCATAGGGATTAAGTAAAAGAAAAGTGTACGGAATTGAACAAATTGTTTACCGAATTTGTATGTGTGATATGTTGTGTAGGTCGCTGGCATGAGGAATCATCACAAGGCCAAAATCCCTGTGAGTAATAAGTTTGTATACATATGTTCTTCATTGTCAGTTTGAAAACCATATGAAAGTGCATATATAGATTTCTGAGATTGCCTTATGTTTTGATATTAATGATTTTCGGTGAACGCTTTACGAATGAAATGTAATGTTTTATGAATGGTACATGAATGAATGATGAATAAATGATATGTGGACCCAAGGTCATTCTATTTACGATCTGATGTACTATGTGGGCCTGAAGCCGTTCTGTACTATATGGGCCCAAGGCCGTTTTGTTATATATGGGCCCAAGGTTGTTTTGTTATATGTCAGCCCGAGGTCATTTTGTTATATGTGGACCCGAGGTTGTTTTGTATGTTTGGCCGAGGTTGTTTTGTATATTTGGACATGAGGTTGTTTTGTAAAATGTTGGGCCTAAGGCCGTTTCATAATGTGATGGGCTTGAGGCCATTTGAATTATATCGAACCCGAGGTCGTTTTGTTAAATTTCCATATGACTAAGCTTTTACAAAGTTTATTTATCTATGATAAAATGTTTTCTTTGAGTTCGAATTTATTCATTAACTCTTTATATTATTATTACTTATTACTCATTGAGCTTCGCTCACCCCTTTATCCTATATGTATGTAGGTGATCAGCATAGAGGTCAGCCGTAGAGTCAGCATTAGGAATTGTTTATTTAGACCTGTCATGCCAAGCCTCCGAAATGGAGCTTTTATATCTTTGGTGTTATGTTTTATATTAAGTCTTCTATTTGGTTTTCGTTAAATGAATTTTGGGAAAATGTAGACTTAATGGTAATGAATCCTATGTATATTGGTTATGTTTAGAAATCATGATGTGTGTATGAGAGTTTATCCTGATCATTTAAACACTGCTCATTAGACGTTATTTACAATATTTGCTTCCACTTAAGACCCCATTATTAAAAACATTTGTTTTCTCTGTGAGGCCGTAGGTGATCGGGTGATTACTGGCCGGTTATGAACTAAACCTTTAGGGGCGGGTCTGGGTCATGAGAATTTATGTTAGTTTTTTTTTAGTTGGTAAAAATTAGTATACAATGACTAAATATTTTTTGGTCACTGAACATGCATATTTGCCAACTAAATTATGTAGTCGCCAAAAATCTAAAGTAAAATTATGCTAGTTATTTCGCTATTAAATTTATTTTAGTCAGCAAAAATTAATATACCACAGCTAAATTTTTTTGGTCACCGAAAATGCATATTTTCCAATCAAATTAGGTAGTCGCCAAAGATTTAAAGTAAAATTATGCTAGTTATTTGGCTACTAAATTTATTTTAGTCGGCAAAAATTAGTATACCACAACTAAAACAAACTTTAGTAACGTAAAACCTAAACTAATGCCGACCAATATTTTTTTCAAAGATTGGCCAATAGGTCCTAATATTTTGAATTTGTAATCCATATAGTCTCATATTTTTTCTTGTGATCCATTTAGTCCTTTTGGATGTATAATGACTCATTTGCCCATCACATTGGATTGTCACATTTAAAACAAGTAGACTAAGGAGTTTTTTAGTGTCACATCACACCTATAACATTAGAGTGTCACATTTGAAAAAAGTATACTAAGGAGTTTTTAATTTTTTTTGAGTGTTGCATCGTACCGGTCATGTTGTCACATTTGGAAAATGTATATTATGGAGTTTTTTGTTTTTTTAGAGTAAAAGTTTAGAGTACCACATCATACACGTCATGTTGTCACATTTGAAAAAAGTACATTAAGGAGTTTGTAATTTTTTTCAAGTGTCATGTCATACCCGCCATGTTAGAGTGTCACATTAATACTTGACATATTGGAGTGTCACATCATACTTGCAAAATTAATAAAAGAGTATAGATGTCCATCAAAACACTACCAAAATCAAAAATAGCATCACACGAAAAAAAAAATTTCTCCACTAATAAGACTTAATAGATCAACAAAAAAAAAAACTTGGGACTAATTAGAATACTCGTTGTTGAGATGAGATTTATTGGTTAATCTCCTATTGTGGCATATTTATTGACTAAATTTTTGTTTAGTTGTCAATAATTAATATATAGCTACTAAAAAAATTTAGTTGCTAAACCCTACAACAAATGCAGACCAATGTAATTTTTAGTCGCCTATTGTACAACTTTTGGCGACTACATCCCTTTTAGTTGCCAAATTTGGTCACCAAAAGCGTATTTTGTTGTAGTGTTATGAACTATATGAGGTTATTGTCAATATTGTGATTCAAATGATAGTTAATAATAGGTGTGTTATCCTATTGATTATATTTTAGTTGTATATCAGATTTTAATGACGGCTTATATGCTGTGATTGATAGTCACATTTTGTGATCTGAAACTTTATAACTGTGATTTTATTTCATTACTAGTCATGAATTATTTTAGTTCAATCTCAGATTTTATTAGTTATTAATCACACTTAAAATTTGTAATCTAAATGTTTATTATCATGGTTAAAACATGTGATGGAATAAATTTTTAATGATGGTAAAAAAGTGTGATAAAAAATAACCCTTAATAACCACACCCTCAAATATCACATTTTGACAAAATAAAAAGATTTGTGATTAAATAACATGCATCACGATTGAAATCTGTGATTTATTTATGATTTTGTAGTAGTATGAGAGTATTCTTGAAATGAAGATGTGTACTGAGGATAATTTTTCTTTCATGTGTGTATGAAAAAAGTGTTCATTAAGTGTATACTCTGAAAAAAATAGGTGCGTGAAAATAAAATTACTCAAAATTAATAATTACTAAAATTTCATTGAATTTCACCCCAAAAAAAGTTCCAATTTCGCAAGTGAACAAAAAATTAAATAAAATGGGTTACCATTTCCCCCTATAACACTCATTAAATACCCAAAAAGGAAAAAACACTATACTTAATTGCCTCACATACCCTCAATCCTTTTTACTATTTCTATCTCTTATTTATTTCTAATGAAGAGATAGCAATAAGAAATATAAAGAACTCCGTATCATGCCATATGCATAATACCTCCAATTAATCTTTTGTTTGAATCTTACTAAGTGTAGTCTAGGAGTTTCATCAGATCACCAAATTAAAATCTCTTTTGTTATTAGTTGGCTTCTTAGGACGGTCACCTATTACAAAGTTGTGTATAAAGAGAGAAGGTGACCAATTTATATATACTGGCATTCATTGAAGAACAACACAAAACAGGTAAGAAAGAAGTAGTATCAATTATTCTAGCATTTATGGCATTATCTCCAGCTGCTGAGTCTGCTATGAAATATGCAGTGTGCATTAACGTGATGAATATTTATTGCTTCCATCTGTTACAAATTTAAAAATATAGATAGTTCAAACAATAATTAATTAAGTAATTTTGAGACGTTCTGGGTTTCACTCTTAACGAGAATAGTTTGATAACTTTGTGATGGCATTAGATTTTACTACTAAAAAATGTTAAAGATTTTAAAATTTCTATCAAAAATTTTATCAAATATCTTATATGAGTGTGAAACTCACACTCATATGAGATATTTGATAAAAATTTTAATAAAATTTTTGAAATTTTTAACATTACTTTTTACTATTAAGGGGAGGATTCCACTCCATACCTTTTAATAAATTGTATGGAGTTAGGTAAAAAAATTTAAAAATGTCATGACATTAAGTGAAAATGACATCAACATGTATAATTAATCCTTTATTAAATGAGTTATCCATGTAAACTTCGTGTCATGCAAATTCGATACTAATCCAACATGTTTAATATCTGAGATTGTGTTATTTATTTGTTTGTAACAGAAAACAGTCAATGATGACCCAATAACTTTGTGTACAGTTTTACTCGTGCTATCATGGCATATTGAAAATATCCACCCTTAATTGACAGCGGTATTTTTGTTTCAATTTGTACAGCCTAGCGGCACCTCCACCCCCTTTAGATTATTGAATTTCAATGCTAATAATAATAAGGGTATGGCTTCTGTCCAGTTCGGGATCGGACTGGATTGGACCGCGTTGTTAGGTCTGTAGAGGCCCACTACGGGTCCCGTTTTGATAATCTGAACCGTTCAATGTGTAGAAATCGTCGAGTACTAAATGCCTGTAAAAAATCACGTTGATCGGATATCGATAGCTATGTGATTAAAATAGTTTTTTGTTAACCGTTAATTTGTTCACAGTCCAATTTTTTTAATACGAAACTAATTTGATCATAGAGCTATCGACATCCGATCAACGTAATTTTTTACAGGCATATAGTACTCGACGAGTTCTACACATTGACGGTTTAGATTAGCAAAACGGGACCCGTGGTAGGCCCCCACGGGCCCAACAGCACGGTCCAGTCCGATCCCGGACTGGACAGAAGCCATACCCTAATAATAATAATAATGATAATGATAATGATAATAATATTGTGTGAGACACTTAATTTATCATTCTTAAATATTAAAATTTTCAATTTACCTATAACTTGGTTTTGAAATTCAAAAACTTTTGAGTTTTCTTTTCATATGTTTTAGTAAATTGTTTTCGTATTTAAATTAACTTTTTTTTTTTTTTTTAATTTCCAAATTTACTTAATATATATCGATTTAAAAAGTAGAATATTTTTACCAAAATCTATTTTTTAACTAAATATAAATATATATTTGTTCTTTTTCATATTTAGTGAATTTGTTACATTTTTTTCACAAATATTTTACTCTTTAAGTGTATTTAAAAAATAAAAAAAAATAATTGCAATAAAAAAATATCAATAAAGACATTTAAAAAATGAAAAAAGCAAAAAAAAAATAAAAATAATTTTTTGAGTTTCAAAACCAAAGAAAGTGTATAGTTTTACAACTTTTTCTATTAATAAAATTGATGACCTCACTATGTAACAAAAATTCAGAAATGATGTAACGCCCTCAAAAAAATACAAAAAAATTCACATTCTTGACATGCATAGACATGAGAGAATAAAGCATATTTCTATATATCAGAGTATTCATTACAAAAGTATTACATGTTGACAACAAAAGTAAATGCCTTACGGGCTTATAACTTTCCAAGTCAACACTTGGATGCAACAAAAGAAGAGTCCTAACTCTTTATACAAAATAAGTCATTGGCTTGAATTTACATGTAATACCAAAAAGAGAATAACAAAAGATCCTTCAGCCTCTAAGCCTCCCAAACTACGTCCTTGGAGGTGGCATATCACCTGAACCTGAAAATGATGTCCCATATAGGGTGAGCCATAGCCCAGTAGAGATATACTAAGCCAAATATGAGCAATAACTAAAACATTAGTATTTGATAAATGATTAACACTTGTAAATCAACTTACAACACATTCTAGTTCCATGACAAATACATTCGGGTTTCA